TCATTTTTCTGGATTCGCTTTCACCGTTATGCTACATTTATCACCAATATTTATATTATTATATTGTTTATAAAACTCGTCGATTTTAATAAAACGCTACCGATAAACAATGAATGTCTATGTATTACATATTCAAAAAAATAAACTTACATAAATTCACTAAACGTTAAGATTATATAAAGATTTTTCTCACTGAAACACAACACTGAGTGATAAGTTTGCCATTAAAGCGTTCATGGATTTATTGTATCATTGGCATTTCAATATTTACAATCGTTGTATCTGAACAACTACGATATTTTGTATTAACTCTTTCATATTTCTGTTGTTGTTATTGTTTATACTGTCACATTTTACAGTCGTACGCTTTTTTCGATTCATGCTAGGCTACTCTACTTTTTGATTGGAAGAAAGAAAATTATTTTATACTATTGTTGAAAGATCTCATTACTACTGATTACTAGTGTGTCAGCTGGATAAAGTCTCTAAAACATTACCATATACTACCTATAATTATTAACCTGTTCCTGATCGTCTCCTTGAATTTATTACTTATGTACAGCTCTATGCTCTATTCCATTTTATTCATCAAAAAATTGAAATACCGTCTTGTTCCTCTCGACATCACCAAATACACTCATACGCAACGTTTCTATACGTGATATGCATAGAAATTTACTGATCGGGAATAAAACAAAACTATTACAATATCATTCATAATCGAGTACACATTCTGCGAATAAATGAAAATAAAATCACTCATAATTTCTAACTCGCACTGATTAAATCATCTGTGAATCGTCAATTCAAATTTCCCACTACGCGCCAAACTGATTTAAGTTGAAAAAAAATGTCAGAATCAATTCGCATTGAATTCACTTTAATTTCTTGTTTTCAAGTGTTTTATTAATGAGCGCTTTAATAATTATATATTTTAACTGGTTTAATTTCATTAGAGTGGAATATTAGCACATAAACTTTACTAGACACAAATTTACAATATACACGCACTAAAATGGTCGAATCGGTGAACTGTGGCATTATGCATAAATGTTAATGGTTAATGTTTCACAGATAAAAATTCATCGAAAAGTTGTACGTGATAAAAGATGGAGAAAATACAGGAAGTCGACCAAAATTATTATGATTTGGATGATATTATTGCATCTACTTCGAATATTCAAATGTCATTCAATAGGCATACATCTAAAGGTTTTTATTTGACATTAACATTGCCGTTATTGGTATCATTATACGAAAGCATTGAATTCAGGCATTTCCATTCATTTTGTTTTGAAATATTCATGAACTGTTCAGATTATTAAACGAAATCATTTATTTGCAGAAATATTCCCTTTACTTGGCTACAAAGCACCAGAAACGATCAGTGAAAGGACTTTCAAAGTTGAATTGCCATTGTTCATGGCACAGCCACTACGTCAACGTTATCCGGTATTCCCTTAATGATATGTTTCTTTGCATGAAATGCAAAAAAATTTATAATGATGTCCACTAAAACGTAATATAATAATGACTATTACCGCAGTAGTGATAATAAGTACCAGTAATACTCATTCATTCAGTCAGCAATGAAAATTTATAACGAATTTCGCGTCCTTCCTCGAAACTGCCAGTGAATCCTCCGTCTTCAGTTAATTTAACAGTAATAATAGATAAATGCACACTTCAGTTAATCCTTTATTGCATTAAATAATATATACTCTCGTTGAAAATGCACCTTCAAATAAGAAATTATTCTCTATTGAATAATCGAAATAGAAGGGATTGCTCGAAAGAGATCAAGCGTTTAGCTTCAACTATATTCGAAATAACCTTCAAAAAATCAGAAGTCAGTCATATGTGCTGTTGATAGTATCAATTACACAAAAGCAATTTCATATGCACTTGCCAACTGCATTCAACGTACACACACAGAAGGTGTTGGAAGCAAGCGCTTCAGCAACAAATCTAGAATTGTTGAATCGACATTTCTATCGATTTGGTATTCAGTTAGCTGAGACTATCGGAGGTTCGTGTCATTTCATTTCAACAATTAACACGTTCGTTACTCCGTGATCTGCTTCTGTAACGAAGATTTGATTCACCCTGATCAATTTGTCGCTTACTCTGCATAAAATGTTTGTGAATAGCTCGGCTACCT